ATGGGTCTCAATATGAGTCTTGGGCTCTCTGTATGAGACTATGGCTCTCGATATGAGCCTATGGGTCTCCAGTCTCCATAGCCCTTCTAATCTATGGGTATCTGTGTGAGTATATGGGTCTCTCTGTGAGTTTATGGGTGTCTCTGTGAGTTTATGGGTCTCTATGTGAGTCTTGGGCTCTCTGTATGAGACTCTGGGTGTCAATTTGAGCCTATGGGTCTCCAATCTCCAGAGCCATTCTCATCGCATCCACTCTGTCTCTTCTCAGCACGTGCCCAAACCATTTAAGTCTCACCTTCCTCACCTCGAAGATATTAGTAATTTCTGCTGATGCTTAAACTTTTTCATTCCGCCAAATATTCCTTACGGCTATTCTCAACAGCTAAAATTGGTGTAAAACGAAATTTAATATTTCATGTTTTTTTGCAGTCATTGGCGACCAGGCTGAGGCCATCAACTCACTGTGGCAGAGAACTCAGTTTAATCTCGGGTGGACTACCTTGATACTAACTAGGATCTCAGTGGAACTGGCTGAGTGCTCTGCCCTCTATGCCAGCTGGCTCGCTTTTCTTCCGTATTTTTTATTTTCCAAAATGTTTAAAATATCGGGACAAAACTGTGCACATCTAGAAATTATAACTTCGTATGAAAATTAGCAACAGTGAGCTCGTAAATCCTTTATTAATTTTTTTATCGCGAAACATTAAAAAATAAGTCCAGACATTGCTGCTGCAAAGCATTGACGATTGAGCAAGGGCTTTTAAAATAAAAGTGGGAAGGTGATTACTGTACATAAAAATAAATCCAGCCTCACTATCCATCCAAACAATTTCCCCAAATTACACTGTGACATATGCACAGTTTTGCTTTGTGTACGGTAGATCCCTGACACCCGCAAAAATGTCAGTGCGGTTCTTGACAGTACCCGGAATGTTCTGTCAGTGACGTATGTCAATGCAGGTCAAACTGCGCTAAACTCTATACATTTTGTGCGATAGTTCTGACCTGGACCCATTCACTTTCTCGTTATATTAACGGCTATAACGGAAAATGTATGGAGCCTGCATTCCCTGTACACTTCTCTGCTTCCCTACCGCCCCACGCTTTCACTCTGCCTCTCTTCACTTTCAACCGACCAAACGGACTCCGTTCCAGTCAAAACACAGAACCCGTTTCTGGATTTTTTGAGGGGCGCTCAGCAGATAGCTGGAAACCTATACAAAGCTCCCTGTACGTTTTTTTTTTGCGTTGTTGTTGTTGGCCTCGTTTAAATAGAGACACCCACTGAACCCAAATATATATTTCACAAGATCCACCTGGTGACTGTTTATTGGTATAATATTATTAATGATGCCTTGCAAATGACACAGAAAAGCTTAGCCATGCCACAAGACTCCTTTTCAGGTTTGGTCCTGCACTGATTTATTGAATTTTGAGTGCTTGCAAAAAAGTGTCAATTATGAGGAGGTACCGCTCAGAGTTCCGCACAGATGGATTCAATAATCCCGTGCTGGACTGACATCTCAACACTACACCACTATCCTAGCTCTAACCAGGCTCAGTTCTGCTTAAGCTTTTGATATCGAAATCGGATAGATTTCAGGGTGATTGATCGGAGACATATGTTGACTGCTACCTGTGCTAAACCAGTGAAATGATTCTAAAGATCTACAGCTTCGTTGAAAGGTTCATGTTCTCTTAGAATTGTCCTTATATTACTAATGACTTTAACCTACCTCTCATTGAGGCCTTGACCCAGATAAACACAATAATTGCGTGCAATTTAATGACAGTTTGGCAAAGTAGACGTGACATTGTGCGAGGAAAGGCTTTTACCATCATTACAGCCACATTATGGAAAGCTGACATAAAACACAGCATGCCTTCACTTTAGATATGAGGCTGGGCCAGTGTGCAACAATTCCAGGGGTGCATTTAATCATTGCATTCGTGAGCAAACAAAGGGTTCTAATTAGAAGCACGTGACAAAATGGCGATGGTAATTTACGAAGCCACATGTTTCAAAAACATAATACGCTGATTGTGCGCCCCCCCCCCCCCCACCAATTTCCCCAAAAAAATTAAATTCCTGGACACAACCGTGAGTGCAGATGTTGCTGTCAAGCAATCAATAGGTAGACATTGATGACAGTCTCCCCTTCCACATGTCAACAACCGAGTTTCTTTCAGTTTCAGTTTCATGTATTGGGTATAGCCCTGTGAGCCATTCGGATCTTGAATCGGGTGCAACCGCAACAAACAAAAACATGAAACAAAAACATGAGCAAGGAACACATCCTAAAGTGACTATGTGACTATGTGCAAACAGAAAATCCAGTTGACATTGGCTGGGCTCAGGCCACGGTCAAAATCTTCCCGAGTTGATGACAATGTGGCCGAATGAGCGTGGTTCCAATGTCCACCCTTCACGTTCTTCCACGGTCCACCTCTTCACGTTCGCGAACCTTCTCACCCGAATGAGCATCAGGCCGTTGGCGAGCTGCATGCATCTGGCGATTGGCAAACCGAGGCAGATGTGGCCGTGACGTCAAAAATATCGGACCGCATAGCCGTGCAGAGATGAGTTCGAGTTTGGGGATAAGGGGGGTGTCGCAGTTCTGTCCGTCTCGAAACGTCTCGTTGACTGCCCGTGTCAGAATGTGAATACCCTGAGTGCAACTGTAAACGGCATAGCACAGGTAGGCCATTCGGTTGGCATAACCGCCTGCGTCGCATGTGGCAAAGAAATGAAACAGGGAGACAACATATTCTTAGGTTTTTTTCGGTAAAGTCACGTAGGTAAAACATTAGAATTAATAAAAGTAAAATAAAATAAAAAAATAAAAATCACGACGTTTCGGAGGCAACACAAGCTTCCGTCTTCAGGTGGAACCGTCACAGCCACGACAGCTGTATCAAGTAAATGAGAGATTACAAGAGCTACCACTCCGTATATATAATGGTTGGAGAGGGGAAGGGCCAAGTACGGCACACTTTTTATGAATATGGTAAGGTGAGGCACCCTCGCTCCATCTCTCCCAATCAACCTCGTATCTCACCGCTGCTGCTTGTGCTTAAATAGTACAGCTCATGAACGTTCGTGAATAGCCCAAGGCTTTTAAGCATGTATAAAGAGGCAGCGCCGATTGCCGAAAATTCGCCTGCGGGCTTGCTGCATGATGCATGCGCTCAAAAAGCCAAGCCGGGGATGGAGCTATGAGCAGATCACCCAAAATGCACTTGATCGCATCAATTTCTTAAAAGCTAAGTGGAGTTTGAGCCTGGACAATGCTTGGATGGGTAACCGCGATGTGCACAAACAAGGTTGTCACATTCTATATTCTTAGGTTTTTTCTGTAAAGTCACGTAGGTAAAAAATTAAAATTAATAAAAGTAAAATAAAAATAAAATATAAATCACGACGTTTCGGAGGCAACACAAGCTTCCGTCTTCAGGTGGAACCGTGACAAGGTTGTCACAGGCCTCGCATGGACTGCGTGACGGGCTGCAGAGTGCAGCGTGGCAAATACATTGCTGCGTTGTACTTCTATGACACCACTTATGTGCTCCGCACCTTCACCAACCAGCGCTGACCAATGTGGTGGGGTATGGTCAAGTGACCTTCACAGCTGAAGATGCCATGATCCAGCAGTGGGTGTTCTGTGCATGTGTCATTCAAATGAGGTTGTCATTTGAGTAAAAACGTAAAATGCACGGTAGCATTAAATGATTGTTTGGTAGGGACACACTCCTGCTTCCATGTATGTGCGTGATGAATGAATTTCAGGGACACATTCATTAATTTATTAGTCCGAACCTACTTCTGTGCAGGATTTTTGCAGTCCTGGTGTTGAGCTCTCTGGCGTGTTTCCGGGTGGCACTGCGTGTTGCTCGGCACGATGTCCGACGTTTCTCTGCATGTGCTGGGAGCTTCGTCAGCACCCGTCAGTTCCTGCAGACGTTCCCGAAGAAGCTCCCGGCAATGTGGAGCGAAACGTCGGACATCATGCACATCAGAGAGCTCTCATTAGACAACCAGTCTCCGAGTTCAGAATCGTAATGTTCATTTATACTGGAGGAATCCGATGAGCTATGCTCTTTGTCAGACATCCAGCAGTCGCAGGTTGTCCGGTAGTCACCCTTCACCCCAGCTCATCGCATTGCGTCCCCACCCACCCACCTCTCTCTCTCGCCCTCTAATGTACAAGTCTCCCCCTGTAGCCAAACGCTGCGGTGACCTCCAGTGGAGATTGGCACACTGCACGTTGCCATCGGCCGTGTGGCTCAGCCGAATCTCGCCAGGGGTAACAGACTTGTGCATTTCCTGCGGTGCCAGGGAGGATCTGCCCCACCGGTACTTATGCTGTCAGCGGCTCAAACCAATGTTCCGCCTTTTGGGGGACATCTTCAGGAAACTGGGGGTGCCGTTCTACAACAGCGGCTTCGTATATGGGTGGTGCCTTACCTGGCTAACAAGCGCCATGACCTGGCCAACTTTGCCTGTGCTCAGGCGAAGATGGCGGTGTACAGAACGAGGAAAAAGATGCTGCAAGGTGACACTGACGGCTGCTCTGTGCTTCCAGTGTTCAGGGGCCTGTTCAAGGCGCGGCTCCGGCTGGAGCACGCATATCACACACATGCCGGTGATGTGCGCGTCTTTTTCGAACGCTGGGGGGTCGGAAAAGCCCTCTGTACCAGCGTGGACGGCACCCTCGTGTTCATCTTCTGAAGCGCTCGCTCGTCACCGTGGCGTGCGCGATGACCACCACCACCACGTGACTTTTATTTTTTGTTGTGCGCGGCGCATTTAGCGCCACAGCGCGTGGATTTGTAGCGTTTATTATTTGTTTCCTGGTGACTGTGTATTTCATATCGACATCGCCTCCAGTGCTGTTGCTGCAGGCGGCAATAAAAGTTCTTTAAAAGTCAAAAGTCTATCTCTCTCTCGCCCTCTCTCTCGCCTTCTCTCTCTCTCTCTCGCCCGCGCCACGCGCGACCAGGTCAGCCTGATGCTCAACGGGTGGCCCATCATCTCGGCGTTCGCTGGGGACCAGGACGTGACGCGGGAGGCGGCGAGCAACGGCGTCCTGCTGCTCATGGAGAAGAGCGACCGCGTCTACCTGAAGCTCGAACGGGGCAACCTCATGGGCGGCTGGAAGTACTCCACCTTCTCGGGGTTTCTCGTCTTCCCGCTGTGAAGGGAGATCGGAGGGCAGTTTTTGGTTTTTTTTGCTTGGTGGGGAGGTGGTGGTGGGGGGGTGCAAGGCAAGTGGGTGTGGTGGGGGTAGAGTGGCTGGCCGTGTGTGTGTGTGTGTGCAGTCGGGGGCAGGGCGGGGGGAGATGTGAATTTAGTTTGAGAGCTGGCAGGGAGATGGAGGGCTCTCCAATGGGGCCATTGCCGTCTGGTCTCTCCTCCCGAGCTACAAGCGTCAAAGCGTCGCTGCGCGTACAGCGAGCGGTGTAAGAGACTCTGCGGCAGCACGCAAAGTGCGCGCCTTCCAAGCCCATCTCCCCGATATTCGATGTGCACCCGTGCGGAAGGTTTTTTTTTTTAGTTTGTTGTTGTTGAATTTTCGTTGAAAAAAAAATGATATACAAGTTATTATTCAACATTTACTGTCCTCATTGCAGTATTTATCTTTGGCCGTGCATACTATACACGACACGGGGACTTGACAGTGCACAAACGCAAACAGAATTTGAGTTGTGCCGATGAGGCCGTGGATCTGCAAAGCTTTCCCCTCCCCACTTGATGTCCAAGATGCCACGATGGCAAAGCGCGAAGACAACAGCAACAACAACACAGCAGCAACAACGCATCCCACACGCGCGGATGCTGAGCGCGCAGAGGACAATTCAACTGACGCTCCTGTATTGAGGTCTCTTTGGTCGTTTGTTCGTGTTATGATACGTACAGTACATAAATATGTATATGTAATAGTGTGTGAGCCATCGAACGCAGATTTGATATTCGCTTTGCAAGATCGTGGGCATCGTTAAAATCTATTGAAATGAACGGAACGCAAACAAAAAAATAAAACCCGAATAAAAAAGCCGTATTTAAAACTAAGGAGTCGTTCTAAGAAAACACATTCCTGTGATCATGTAAGTGTTTATCGTGAGCTACGATGTCATACGCGTTCTCGTGTCCCCCCCCCCTTCACTCTCCCTCGACCGCTCACCCCTCGCACGCCTTGCCTCTCTCACGCTCACAGCTCCCCCACGCGCGCCACGTTCGCCTCGCCTGACCCCAAGATCCCTGACCCCAAGATCTCTGACCCCAAGATCCCTGACCCCAAGATCCCTGACCCCAAGACCCCTTGACCCCAAGATCCCTGACCCCCAAAACCGCTCCGCCTCGCCTCTGAACCCGCGCGCATCACGGCAGCGAAGAGGTGGTTTGTTTCGGTTGTTTTTCGTTGACTCACACAATTGCGAGGCGTGTAGACACAGAGGCGAGCAATGTGTGCTGGGTCCACGGACTTGTACAACGATTCACGAATACAGAACAATGTAACTGCATCCCCCCCCCCCCGCTTCCCCCATCGCCCGGCCTATGTTGGCAACACTCAAGTTTCATTGCCATTGAGATCCCGGCACGAAAATGTGCGTAATTTAGACCCTCCAATTTTCAAAGAAAACTGCGATTTGGTTTTTTAGAAGGGTAACGCGCATTTCATAGGAAGATTTAAATTATGATAGTTTACCGTAATTAAGATTAACATTAAAGGCGAATTGTTCTAAGCACATTCGATTGTGCTAACCCAATATTTTTAGTTTTTGTAATTTTTTATTAAATTGTCACCCGTATTTTTTTAAAGCTTCAGTTTATTTTTGTTTGTTACCTGCAGAATCGCAAACGAGCGCACGCACGCATGCACTCGCGTGCGTACCTGCAGCGAATTGATTAATACGCGAATTTCCCAGATGCAATGTTGATCAAAAAATAGATCACACGCTGCGAAACGGAGCAAACAGCAAGTGCCAGGCACATTTCCCCATGAGAAAATCATCCCCCCCCTCCCTGTCCCCACCCCCCCAACTCTTCAGCAATTACACGGTTATTTTGTCGTTACTGTATCTGTGTAAATGCGACCCTTTATGTGTACACCCGCATGAGAACAAATTTAAACTATAAACTTTTTTTTATTTCAACAAGTAAGGCCCACTGAGCTATATAGCTCTTGTCAGAAGTGAGCTGACCACAGATGATAGCCCAATTCAGTGGCTTATCATGCGGACAATTAAATCAGTCAAATACTCCAAACGCACGTTTCTAAATGTGGAGGGAAAAGCCGGAGGAGCCGGAGAAAAATCCACGCGACCACAGGAGTGAACACGCAAACTCCAAATATACAGCAGCACGCGTCAAGGTCGGGATCTAACCCACGACCTCCTGTAGAGCAGGCGAGGTAAGTTAATATCTCCTAGCCACCGTGACGTGTCGCGTTCAGGATGCTTCGAAGTCTCAAGCTGTAAAATTGATCAACATTGGCCCTGGCGCTAATGCGCTTCTGAACTCTTTTTCGCTTAATTCATCCATTTTTAAATCCTTTATATTAAGTTCACTTGCTTGCTTGCTTGCGCGCTTACGACCGTGCAAATCTTTCGGTCGTTTTTTATCCCACTTCCCGTGATCCAATCGAGCTGACATTTTGCACACAGACTCGTTGTGCGTGACAATTTATTTTCGTGAAATTTTTTCTCTCCTAAATCTTACACTTTTTAGGAAAAAATAAATTTCATATTTAATTTAAAATACCAATGTGATAAAAATGAAACTCTTACTCAAGAAAAACAGAAATGAATAATAAAATAAAACCGATGCTACGCATATAAAGGATTTATAGTGAAAAACGTTGTTTTTACGGGTTAATTTTTTAAAATTGCATTTCTCCATCTCCACCACACAGCAGCTTTCGCTCCGCTGCGTAGCCCTTCCACACACGAGTTGTGTGCACGACGCCTGTACAAGCACTCGTCGTTGTCGCCTTCGTGTCGGCAATTCTGATCGCAGTGCCATTGAAAAGCTACTTCCTCTCGAAGCTATGCCTTTCGCGTATCCCAATGGAGTGCAATTACCAATTGCTGTTAAAGGCCATTTGAAAACTGATCTTGTGAACGCCGGCCCGATGTTAACGTACAACACATCTATGCTGTAGATATAAACAAACATACTATAGTGCTGTATATAGAAACTTTAATCTATATATAGGCAGCATCGAATGTCTTGTACAGATCTGTATGTGCGGTATATTGGTCTGTATGTGTGAATTAAGACAACGTATGTATGACACATATACAGATATTATATAGGCATACAGTTTATGTATATATAGAGTCGATGGTGTGTGGGTGGGCTGGTGTGCAGGGCTATACACTATGTGTGTCTAAACGCTAACGCTCAAGAACCCTGGTGTTTATTTTTAATGGCATAGGCATATACACATAGAGATGAAGACTCCCCGTATAGCCTTAACAGACTGTTGGGGCAAGTGCAGTTAGCGAGCACCTATGGCGCCGGTACTACACATGAGGGCGTGGGCGGCCAGCACCTCGCCCCACCGTTTTCTGTGGCGAATATCTGAACCGGGCCTGGGCCTCCACTAGGTCGACTCAACCTTAAACGAGTTCTTGGTGCGGTGTGTAAACATCACTGGGGAGACAAAGGCGTTTCGGGCGTGATATTGGCCATCCACCCCCCCCCCCCGCTCAAGTGCCGTGCCAGCCTTTCATAGGTGCTCACCCAACAGCACCTGCCCCAACAGCCTATGTAAGGCCATACGGATGGGACCTTACGCCTCTATAGCACATACGCACATACAGACATACACACGCGCGCGCGCGTTTCTGTTGCATTGCAGGTGTGTGTCGAGGAGTGCGATGGCGGCAGATTAAAGAGACGAACGTTGGTTCTGTCAAGAGATGTACATCTCGTGTCGTCTTGCTGGCTGTCACGATCAATCTGCGTCACGGTTCCCACGCATTAACCACCCCCCCCCCCTCTCTTGCAAGCCGCTCCCCAACCAAGCTCTGTCTCCAGCATTGCCCGTCCTGCAGCCAATGATAAGGGCGGTCGCAATGCGCGCGCTTAATAATAAAGTTCGATGTACACCCCTCGAAATGGGCAGCTTCGCAAGAGGACAACTTCATGGGACGTTAAAACGCTCGCGGGGACGTCCCCGAAGCTACAGAGCGAGACGTTGGCACGGCACGAAAGGGCATTATTGTTTTTAATGAACACATCATTGAGATCAATTTGCATGGTCGAGCTCACAGACGCTTCGCGTGCACTGCTGCCCGTTGCCACGAGTGAATCAGATGTTCGCAGATTATAACCAGGTAGGAGCAATTACAGGCAATGTCTCTATTTCAACGGAGACCTGAGATTCAACATAGAGAGAATGAAACGCAATAACTGGAGGAAAGAGGGGAGCGAGTCGAGTGTGCGGTGGTGCAGTGTTTCGCACGTTACACCCTGAACGCGGTGACCTGAGTTCAAGTGTCAGCCACGGCTAGCATCTCCGTCGAATGCTGTATAACTGAACGGGTCTTGCCTGCCAACACCTTCAGATACAACCGACCCACTCACCACTCCACACACCGCCGATCCTAATCACTGGGTATTTAATTGCCGTCGCGTTATTTTGCAATTTTCTTCACGATGAGTCGTTTTTGTCTTCTTCATATCCAGGCAGTGCAAGTGGTGAGCACACTGCGAAATAAACCTGGCAGCCCGGGTTTGACACCCTTCCCAAACGGAATTGTGCCGTTCATTCAGCGACCCGTGCTCACTCAGGTGGTGAAGTATGGTCAACCAAGCGGCAGCTGCTCGCACGGCGTGGGGAGGCAGTCATCAGACAGCGGATTGGCAAAGGGCTAACCATCAATGTATTTAACGTAAGCAGAAAAAAAAACACCTACAAAAAACCGGTACAAACAATCGACATGCACACAATACTTACTTGCTATTCTGTTTAATTATGCATGAGTACAATGTGTTGACGTGTAAAGATAAACCACTCCGCCTTTGTGCTAGCGGCATACAAGGAGCCCATTCGGGGTAATGTATACAGCAGGGAAAGGATGACTATAGAGGCACGGCGACCTGCATTCAGCCGACGCGATGCAACAGCGTAGAGTTATGGCGTTTCAGGACAAATGGATTCGAGGAGCTGCAGCGGCGTTATCTTACGGAGCTAGCCAGCGCGCCCCCACCCCCCCACCACCCGCACCCTGGCCGAGACTAGGAGATGAGAGAGTCCGTCTCTGTGGTGTGTCCCACTGAGTCGCTCGACACGGCAGTCAGCACTCCGCTTCATTAGCGCAGTGCAAGGGGGGGGGGGGGGGGTGGCAGCCTTTAAAGCACGGTGAGATTACACGAGAGTGAAGGATCACTTTCCTGCGTGTTTCCCTTCGCCATTATTTATTCTCCGCAAGGAGATAAGCGCTATGCAGGTGTTGTGTTAATTAGTCCAGGTCCGCAACGTGAGAGATAAATTGGCGGCCGCAGTCAATCGGCGCTATATATTTTTTTTCTCTCTCCGCCTAATGAAATGAATGTTGTCCCTTTTGTTTGCTTCGCTAAGTCTCGGCATTTATTTTTTATACAGAGGATCCTGCGATGGAATTTTTGGCAATTTCCTTTCGAAAAAAATATGATTGTTTGAGATATGAATGCACGTAGCTGGGGGAGGCGGGGTGGACAAAAACAAACTATCACATACTAGCAAAGACCACTCAAACCTCTCTACGAAAAGATGAGAAACCCACTTTCTACGCTGTCGATATCGACACTCGGGCGTCCACGCAAAGTCTTCTCGTCACAACGCCATCTCAGCACGATGCACAAACCTCACTCGCGTGGCCTGCAATCGAGAGGGCCTTTGCGTACGACCCGTGTATTTACTGTCATCGACATTTTGACCATAATTTCCACACGACAAACACGCTTCTTTATTTGCAATCACGTTCACAAACTATTTATTTTGAAACAACCCTCACTGCCTGCAGGGTGCATCAGGGGAGGCTCTCATCCAGCAGTGGATTGACAAACGGGCAGTGCGCGTAGCCGCTCAGTTTACATTCAAAGCTACAGCCGGCATTAATCGTGACGGGCAGTGTCGACTTGAGACCCTTTTCCTCGCAAATGGAAATGCCCCGGGGTATATGAAATTTGTAGGAGATGACACACTACCACTATACAGCGTCACATGCGTTCAGTGCAATACTCATTTTATACTATCGGATGATAAATGTGAACATGTGATATATATTTTGTGTGTGCAAGAAAGCCTTACTAATTCTCAATATTCATATTCAGGAGGGTCCTACATTGGGATATTTAGCCAGTTCTGGTATGTATGTTGGACTTCGTTTGCGCCGTACGCTGCCAACTGTGCGAATTGAAGGTGCGGGGGGAGGAAGGAAACTAAACACGTAACGCAGTTCGAAAGAAATGAGTTTTCAATCAAATCTTCAAATAATTGAACATATGTTACGAATATGTTCCCCTGCACTCACAATCCTATTTCATGCAACGACTCAGTGAAATAATATTACATAGTTGTAGTAATAATAATTACTATTATTTACAGATTTTGATTTCACGGCCTTGGATGAAGGCCTCCCCATGCGTGACCATACTTCATCATTTCGATGTAAAGCTTTCGTGACTGCAGGGATTCATCTTCTTGGTTCTGTCGGTAAAGTCACGTAGAATGAAAATAATAAAATAATACAAATAAAACATAATATTACGTTTAATAAAAAGAAAACATAATATTACGTTTAATTTTAATAAAAATAAAACATAATATTACGTGAAATTAATATTATTTTATTATTTCCATTCTACGTGACTTTACCGAAAAAACCAAGAAGATACTTCACCATGCTTGTGAGTGCGGGTTACTCGAGGAAGGTGACCATGACCAATTTCGAGATCACTCGCCACTGACGTTAGCCGTGGCTGGGAGCAGAACTCAATTTTCGGGATTCATAGCGCAGTGCACTAACCGCTGTGATGCCGCTCAACGCATCAAGTAATATCATTGCCCTGCATTTATCTGGGAGAACCTCGGGATTGTTTCTCACGAGGATCCTGCATTGGGACGTTTTGTCGATTCTATTAATGCGTATTTAGCATATGAGAGGAAACCGAAGGACTGGTTAAACACACACACACACACTTCAGCCTTTGGCTTGTCTTACGCATGTACTATTGCACTGAATTGACATTTAGGGTGTCTACACTGCAATGAACAGTAATCTGCGCCGAAATTAATTGCACAAACACCGAAGCTAGGTTCCTGTGCAAATCTGACATCGAGTTATACGATTCTAGCTGAATCCACGTTGCTCACGTAGAGTTGTATTCTGTGGAAGTACTGCTGTGTTAGAGCTCGGCTGAAAACAGCTCTCCCGATGTGTTTTCTGGCTGCCACTGCGCGTGCCTTCTTTGGGGCCTGAAAGCCTTACCGAAGCTTCCCAGATGCTGGAGCTGTCCAGGGTTCTGAAAGCCCGAAACCATATCGGAGAGCTATGATGTCGCATTGATACAGGCCTGGTGGGTGGGTGGGTGGTGGGTGGGTGGTAGGGGGAACTCCTCCTGCGGTTGTGAAATCAACTGCAGGTTCAGGGAAGCGTCTGTCAGCGAGCGAGAGGAATTGGCGAGGGGGAATAACCGTGCACGCAGGTAAGCTCCTCGGTTTAAATGCATCTTTATCTCCAGCCTTGTTTGCAATTCATACGTGGTCGCGCAACACTGTGCATTCATTATAGACAGGGCTGGATAACTATTAGAGCGGCTTAATAAGATGTGCCTGTCGATGTTGCATTTTAAACACAGTGGTGCTTAACTATGAAGTGCGCAATTATGTAAGAATGGTTTCACAAGTGGCGGTATAAAGGTTTCGGCTTTAGGCGCAATAAAAAGGCAGTTAGCCACAAATTAATCACGTTAACGCTCTTGTAATTGGCTGCAGTAAAAATGAAAAATCATGACACGAATTAGCCCAGCTCTGACGCGTGTTTGTCACGTGCGTACGTATGTGTGACTGTCTGTCTAGGTCGACTCAGCCTCAAATGAGTATCTGGTGTGATGTGTACACATTGCCATTGGAAAGAAAAAGGTGGCCGGGTGTGGTGCTTGCTACTCACCCCCTCGTGTGCCGTGCCGGCCAATCATAGGCGCTCGCTAAAAGCACTTGCCCCAACAGTCCGTGCAAGGCTATATGGGTGATCTTTGTATTTGTGTGTGTCAGCATGTCCGTGTGAATGTACGTATCAGCACATCTGTATGTATGCACCTGTGTCGGCACGTCTGTGTGGATGCATGTGCGTGTGTGTGTGTGTGTCAGCACGTGTGTGTGTCAGCACGTCTGTGTGTGTGTCAGCTAGTCTATGTGTGTGTCGGCATCGTGCGTATTTCTGTGTGGCCACATTTCCTTATTGGCCGCACGTAGCCAGAATAACTCGCTGTGGCCTCACATTACCAGCCATGTTTACTGTTTTGATTGGGAATCGGCTAATGAGCAACGGTTATACGGGTGCATATCGCTTGGACAAATAGCATCTTTGTTGACTCATGCAAATGATTAACAGCCAACGTGTGTTCGTTTCTTTTCACCCAAAAGACATAAACATTCGCCTTCGTTTAAAGACCCGTGGCATTGAGATAGTAGCCAGCCGCTCTTGTCAAGACAACTCAATGCATTTGTGCAGAGCCGTGAGCAGGCGCGTCTTTAATAACTTACGCGGGGTAAAGCGAGGGCTCTTCGTGTTACACTTACACCACCTTGAACGCGAGCGTGGGGATTATTAGCTGGGGCAGGGTGGAAGAAATGGCGTGCAGGAAGCTATTCTCTCCGCGCGTATAATGTGAATTAAACGGCCATCTAAATCG